TTACTCTTGATAGATGACAAAAATCCAGAAGAATATGGAGCCACCAGAAAAGCAGTGGAGCAATTGGTACTGCAGCCTTTCCCCTGCTTTCAGGCTGTTCTTCCAGTCCCTATCTACTGCAAAAATGCAATGTTTTGGGATTTCTTCTTGACTTTCAGATGTAGTTGTAACTGGTGAATGTATTTGGAATGGACTGGGAAGCGGTAAAAGAGCACTGCTGTGTCCCCTCTCACTAAAAAAACCAACTTATAGACAAAATAATTGTAGAAAGACTAAAATCATGATCAATTTACATGCATTTTAACATACAGACAGTATGTGGGATCATAATTATAAAAATAATTGGTTTAATTACGTAAAAAAAGACACGCATACACTTTTTTATGTAGATATATCAACGTTTCAGTTTGGCTGTGCAATTATCATCATCTCAGGCAGTCAAAACAGCCTTAAACACCAAAAAAACCCCACCCCAATGCCCACTCCCCAGCAGTTAGAATAGATGAAATACTCCACAGAAAATGAAGCCTAGTTGTAGCATAGGTATTTCTGAAGCATCTCTCTTTAAGACTATGAAGGAGTTGAGTATAATGGATCATGAGCAGTGAGTCAGGTGAAGAGATGTTTGTAGCCACTCCTGAGCTGCATGAAGGGCACACACCTGGCAGTGCTGTGTCTCAGCTCTGCCCACCTGACCAAACCAGTGCAATAGTGTGCTTGTGAGAGTGGCTGATGGCAGGAGCCTAGGGAAGTTTATAGGATTGGGATAAGTGTGTAACTGATATTCCTGAATGATTTCACTTAGGCTCCGACAGGCCAAAATGCCAGGACTTCCTTTACTGAAGATGGGAGTGCTGGATTTAACAGCTCTTGTTTTTTTCCTAGGGTTTTGCCTGTCAGTTCTTTAAGCTTGCTAAGCTTTCAGCATCTGTACTATCAAGTGACAGGGAGCTCCTCAGTGTACCTCCGTATGGTGCAAAGGAATATATGTCTGTGCATCCTCAGTACTTCTTCACTGGCCCTGGCTTTCTGCCTTGAATTCCCTCAGACCTGCTTTATTGCTGCAAACCTGTCTGGTAGTTGCTGGGCTCTCAAGAGCTGTTTCCCCAGACCTGCTCTGCTTGGGTACCAATGGACTGTGTCCCTGCAAGTGAGGACACTGTGCCTCTGCCTGCCTTGCTGCCACCCTCCACTTCCAGCCTCCCTCCTGCTGTGGAGCAGTCCTGGCTGTGCCCTGGCAGTGTTCCACTCACCAAGATGCAACTCTCACTCCTGTTTTGGACCTCTTGTATGCCAGTTCCCCTGGATGCTCTTGAGTCTTGGAAAGCAGAGCGATCAATTAATTTCCTTTCATTTTCCCAGGATTTTACAGAATTAATTTTTCTTTGTACCTTAGTTTCTCCATATAATAATTAGTAATAGAGTCCTTGCTTTCCTATGTGAAATCATTTATGATCTAAAGATGAATAGGGTTATGTAGGAGCTGCCTAGGCCTAAACCTTGAAGTATGTCCCACTGAAAACAGTAGGAGCAGACATCTCTGTACCTGTGTGCAACTGGCTCCCACTATAGCTAAGTTAGGGGAGTTAATTTTCCCTAGCTTCAGCAATCTAAATAATAGGCATTTAATATAAATTAGTCAACTGAGATACACGAGTAGTTTCCGACCACTTTGAAATCCCTGTGGTGTCCACAAAGAGAATCTAAATTAATTGCTTGGATGGCCAGACCTAACTGGTTGTTTTATGCTAGGTGTCAGAAAGTTAACAGCTAATATACTTGCGTCTGGACTGATGGATCCAGTATTAGGCATTGCTAATAAGTAAAGTATTTGCTTACAAATCATTAGAATAGCAATATTGTCCTGCTGCAGCTTTATAATGCTGCCAATTTAGCATGTGCCTGAAAGAGCCCTTTGGGTAAAAAAGGATTAAAAGATTAGAGATAAGATGAAGGTGATGTAATTCAAGAAATCTTCTTCTACATCTAGTCCAGATAACAATTAATTCTGATTCTTCCTTAATTTACACTAAGTTAAAGAAAAGATGGTTTTGAATTGATAAAGATGATTTGTTCCTACTCTGCTGCACTTTAGTAATCTCAACTGTATTTCAACCTGCCATGATGGTACTGAATATAAGGCATATTTAGCACTATGTGAACCTGAGTTATCTTCTTGGAATATACTTTATTAAAGAGACGGGTATTTTTACTGATATCTTTCTTTTTAGCAGGCCGAACTCTCTGGTCTCAGTCACAAAAGAATGTAATATTAAAGATTTTAATAAGGATGAAATAATATGACATTGAGATGTCCCTCATTTGTTTGATTTTGGTTTAGATTATTAACCCTGGTTTTGTCTCAAGGAATGATTATAAAATTAAAACAAAAGCCCACAAACTCTATCCTTCAGATTTATTTCTCAGATATATTAGTTTCTTCTTATGGTTTCCATTCCTGGTGTTTAAATCTTAAAACTATTGCACATGAATGCTGCCATAAAATCTACAAAATGTGCAGACAGGTGAGCAAAGCAAATTGTATTCAGGTTTTACAAGAACCTGTACCAGGGATAAAATCAGACAGAAGTTGTTTATCTCATAGGGAAAACAAAGGAGAAAAAGAGGAGAAGTTTCCAAGGTATTGCAGAAGTGTATGCTTCCATTAAGACCAGCCATCTCACCACTCACTGTGTTACATTCGGGGAGCTTGAAGCAGCCTCCCCGCGGTTTCATTTGTTCGCAAAACATGCTAATGACAGTTTCATGATTAAAGCCAGCGAATATGAAACGTGTGGAATGAGATTGGGAGTAGACTCGAGAGAGCAACTAAATCTGCGGTGCGTAACCTTGCATAGTCACAGCTCTCTTCTCCCCGTGTCAGTGTCTGCTGTCCTATTATTTTTTCACAGGGAGGAGGGAAAAGCATCCTCGGGTCGCACCTGGGCTGCGGTTTTACCCGCTGGCGGCTGGACTGTCCCGCGGTGGGGGCGGGCGCCGAGCCCCCGCCGAGACCGGGCGTCCGCGCTCTCCAAAACAGAGCCCCGGGCTCCCTCTGTAGTTCAAGCAGGGAATTCTATATACCTCCAGGAGCTGGTTCGTCCTGAAAAAAACCCAAGAGGGCGAGTCGTTTGTACGTGCCTGCATGCGGCAAACGGGACAACGGCCTGGGGGCGGGGCAGGGGGTCTTAGGGGCTTCCCCGCACCACCCGAGTGGGGACGCATCAGGTCTGTCTTCTCCAGGGCTCTGATGGGGAGATCTACAGCAGGCAATAAAGTAGGCCTGCTAAGTCCTCAGCACAGGAAAGACATGGACCTGTTGGGGCAAATCCAGAGGAGGGCCACGAAGATGATCAGAGGGCTGGAACACCTCTCCTATGAAGACAGGCTGAGAGAGCTGGGATTGTTCAGCCTGGAGAGGAGAAGGCTCTGGGGAGACCTTACAGCAGACTTCTAGTACCTAAAGGGGGCTTTTAAGAAAAACGGAGACAGACTTTTTACCAGGACATGTACTGATAGGACAAGGGGGTAATGGTTTTAAACAAAAAGACCATTGATTCAGACTACATACAAGGAAGGTGTTTTTTATAATGATGGTGGTAAAACACTAGCACAGGTTGCCCAAAGAGTTGGTGGATATCCCATCCCTGGAAATGTTCAAGGTCAGGTTGGATGGGGCTCTGAGAAACCTGATCTAGTGGAAGATGTCTGATCATTGCAGGGGGATTGCACTAGATGACATTTAAAGGTTCTTTCTGACCCAAATTATTCTATGATTCTATGATTAAGCTGTAGGGTGTGTAATCCACATCAGGTCAATGCCTGATGCCCCAGGGGACACATCTACAATGTCTGCTCTAACTTGCCTGTCACTTCACGGGTGTAGCGTTGATCTTGCCTCAGAAAATGTCATTCTTTAAACTGCAGATGTCCTTCATTAGCACACGCTGCTTTGTTTGGAAATGGTTGGTGCATGTGCAAGAAAATAACGGGATGACCATGCACCCAGGGCAGTCAACCTGTAGGGGCGTGATGCCCAGAGCAAGTGTAATCTGAGATAGAATCAAAGAAAGTCCCAGAAGAGCTAACAGAAAACATTGCCATCTCAGGCTTGATTATGGAAAAATAAGACCAAGAAATAAGTCATGCACTGTTGGCCCTTAATTGCTAAACCATCGTTGTCAAAAGCATATCTTGAAATGCTACAGTAGTTGTCAGCCCTGGTGGGCTAAAAGAAGCCTCCTGCCTTTATCAAGTAAAAAAGACATATTGGAAAAATCAAATCATTCACAGATGGGAGATTTTCTGTATAGAGCTTATAGAATAAAGAAATATTCATGATTCCTATAAAAAGACCTTGTTCAAAGATAATTTTGCCACTGTTGCTAGGACCAGAGGCCAACAAGTGGGGCAGAGTAACTGCTTCCCAGTACGTGCATTACTGCATAAGATCAGGATAATTCAGATATAACTAGACAAATACAAAGGAGCTGCACATCTCCTTTTGGCATCACTTCATAAAACGAAGTTTCTGCCATTTTCTAGCTGTGACTAATCTCTTCAGTCATTTGTGTTTCAGTACAACCGTGAGAGTCCTCTCTGAAATCAGAGTGAACTAAAGGTTCTCTGCAGTTTTTTTGTGCTCTTTCCATGGAAGATGTGTTGCTCCTCTTCTCTGCTTCTTGACCTGAATGCTTCTGACTTTGAGAAGGTCCCCAAAGATGGGGATACCAAGTGCCCAAATGCCTGATTCCTCTGAACTTCAGCCTCTTTATATGTAAAGAGAGAAAACCATATTTGTTCATTCTGTAAATATGCAGGTTATACTGCAGCTAAGTATTGTGCAGAAGTTTGTGCTGTACTTACATTACAATTGAACTTTTCTTTAGTTCTTCCTCTTCAGTATTTTTTAATCTGAGTTATGTTTGCACCACACTGATATTTAAATCTTTGCAAATAAATAAGCAAAGATATTTTTTCCTCAGAGCCAAGTTCTTCTTTTCATTCTTCATCTCTTTGGTGTGAGGAAATGTCTACTTCCAATTTAAGGTAAATTTGCCTATTTTGCCAAATTAACAGTTGAAAATATTGTCCTTCATTTTCTTGTGGTGTCTGGAAAAGAGAGTTTTAATGGTTTCCTTTTGTTTTTAGTGTCCATTCAGCTGCAGATCAACTGAGCATGAAGGACAGCAAAAGAGGAGACAGTGAATTAAATGACAGTCATTCTGTTATCAGTGGAGAAAGGCTAAAGAAGCCACCTTCAGAGATGATGGAAAATCAGGTTGGAAAGTATAAAATTTAACATCTCAGTTTTGGAGTGCAAGACATAAATGGAAGCAATGAACTGAAACAAACCTTATAATTCTCCTTTACAAAGGCCCTGGATGAGGAAAGGCAGGAATAGATTGAAAAGTAGAGATGTCTGACCCCCTAGTCATCATCGTCCCTGACTCACCAGTAAAACATCTCAGTGATGTTACACAGACATGAGGTAATCACAGGGTGGCATGATAAACACCTTCAAACCCCAAAGTTACTGGCTTCTGAGTGCTTCTTTTTTGGGTGCTCAGTTTGGCACAGCTCAGAGAGGCTTGAGAGTGAGCAAGTGCTGAGCACTGGTTCATAAGGCTTCTTGAAGCTGAGTAGCAGAATACTCCTAAAGTGTTTGGTCCATGTCTGTCCATGTGTGTTGCGAAGTGCATGTCATATGTATGGGCACTATTTGCCTAAAATAAAAGAAAAATTGTCTGGAGAGTTCGTTAAAGTAAGGTAGAGAGCAGGTCTTTATTAAGGCCTTAAGGTGCATAAAATACATTCAGCACACACATGCAGAATAACTGTTACAATTTTATAATACTGGCTAGTTATCCTATCTAACCATTACATCCTGGCCCAAAAACCGTACATCCCCCCACCCGCCCTCAGGCCCTCCCCTAGGCACGCCTCCCCAAGTTGGGTTGGTGGTCCCAAGAAAACAATAGTTGGTCCCTCCTTCATCTTCATCATCCCTCTCTGTCCTGCTTGGCCCTCTTTCAGGGATCCTGGGTGTTCTCTAATAGTTTAGTCTAAAGTTTGATAAGGGGTGATCAAAATCTAGAATGGTGATAAAGATTGTGGCCTTAGATACTACCTAGAGTTAATTTTAGGTGGTGGTGCGGGCCTGGGCCGGCCCTGGAACGTGTGCTTCGTGGCGGCGCAGGCCCGGGCCGGCCCTGGGCGGGTGTGTGGCGGCCCGGCCCCGGGCGCTGGGGCCTGGCCCCGGGTGTGGAAAGGAGCGAGAGAATGGGAGCTTCGCCTGTGCGGACAATGCCATTGTGGGAGATGGGAGGGGAGCCCCGGAACACACAGAAGAGAAGGACAACTCTAAACCCGGGCAGATGGAGCTCGTTCAGCCCTGTAAGGCCATCCATCTAAGAGAAGGTCACTCTAAACAAACCTACGTCCTGAGGACCTCGCTGCCACCATCCAAGCTAGCTCGGCCCCGGCAGATGAACCTTAGGATTAAAGGGTGGGCTCAGTTCAGTGCACACTGTGTCTCACCTAAAAAATCCACTGCGCAGGCTCGAAGGCCTTACCCACATTTGCAAAGCCCTGTATCACCAGCGCGCTTGTAACAAACGTGGGCAGAGACCTTTCCTAAATCTTCTTTCGTGAAGACTGGCCATGACTGACTGACTGACTGATAAATAAATGAATGAGATATATGAACAATTGAACTGCTGAGTGTTGAAGCACATGTATTTCATAGGTATATGTTTATTACAGCTCACTTCATGCAGGTGCTTCTAGGATCCTAGCATAATACCTGGTGACCTAGCATAATTTTAGGATATCTTACTGCCTGCAAAATTAGCGCAAAGAAATGTAGATATACTTATTTGTAACTATAATAAATAGTTTTTTGATAGAGTAAAAACACCTAAGATTTTCCTATTGTGTGATGTTGCTGTCCCAAGCATAAGGTTGCTACATTCTGCCATTGCTGATATATGAGAATATATTGTTTGTGATTTAGTAAAACATATTAGATGATTGAATTCTAGAAAAATACCTCATATTAATTTAAAGGACTTCAAAATATTGCTTCCTTTCCAGATACTGTATCCTCTGCAAAGGAAAACACAAGTACACAAAGAGCTGTAACAGTTCTTATACCTTACAGCTGAACACAAGGAAAACACTTTCTCTACATTATGAAATTGATCATACAATCACATATTCTACAATACCAATTTATTAGCCCATACCTCCAGTTTGGAAAGTCTCATTTTCATTCCCAGCAGCCAAAGCAGAAAGAATGTAATTATCAAGCAAATATTCCTAAACCCCAAAGACTGCAGAGTGTATTTAAAAGATTTCTAAATGACAGGCAGACCAGCTCAGGTACTATCCCGTCAAGACAGCAGAGAGGATTAAATCACCCTTCACAGAACACTTTACCCCTAAGTACCTGTGATATAGGAACATCATTCTGAAAGAGCAATGGAAAGATATCACAAAGTATCATAAAATTGTACTGGGTACTTTTGTCTGTGTTTATGAGAAAGTGTTGCCAACTGAGTTGTGTAAATAAAATTCCAGCAAGATAAAATGTTACTTTAAATTATGGCAAAATCAATCAGTGTCTAGACAAATCGTCTTTTTAAAATCATCTTCTGTATTTTATCAATGAACCTGAAAACCATGTGAAAGCATACAATTACTGCTGCTAGGAATTAGAAAGTAAATTAAACCAAGCCATGACTTTATTCTGAAATTATTATGTAAGTAAATAAAAAGATCTAAGTGTACATCTACAGTCAAACGTATTCTGAAGTACTTATTGTGTGATATATCAGATGGCCTATTTGTATTTTTGCTATTTAAAAATAGCATCAAATTGGCCTCAGGTCTTCATCTTTAACAGTGCAGGTAGACTTTAATGCCCACATGGCTGGATGAGTTCTCTGCTAATGAATGAGCAAAAGCTCTGTATTAGATCTCTAAGAAAATCATAAAAATAGCTGTCCTGGAGGCATGAGGAATGTAGGTTATTTAGGAAATTATTGGACATAGACATAATTATATACATCTCTCTGTATGCAAAAAGATAAAACTTTTCAGTATTTCTTTTCATGATTGTAGGGGGTCTGGCTGGGATGGAGTTAACATTCTTCATAGCAGCCCTTATGATTACCTGTGGTTTGGATTTGTGGATAAAGTAGCAATTTATTATTGTTGATAATACATCAATGCTTTGTCTATTAACGAACAATGCTTGCACACCTTCAAAATTTCTCTTTTTTGCCACTCTTTCCCCAAAGTAATTAAGACTGTGATGTGCAAGAAGTTGGCAGGGAGCACAGCCAGGACAGCTGATTTGAACTCTCCAAGTTGAATTCCCAAAGGTATATTCTACACCATATAATATCAGTTCCACCTGAAAATGTTTGGTAAAGAACTAAACTTTTTCTGGTCACTTCAGACAAGGCTAACTCAATTTTCGATGAAAAGCAATATCTGAGAACTGTTTAATAGTGATTTTAGTTAAAGAAGATTAATTAAAATTGGGTACTGGACAACAAACTGCTGTCACTAGGCCAATTGATCCATATGAAGATAATATGAGGACAGGCTTTGGCATCTCCACAATCAAACTAAATAAAGAAGGAACAGAGCAAAGATTTTCTATTTGTAAATGCACACTTGATCCTGGTATTTTCCTGGATCATTTTAGAAGGAGTTGCTTTTCACAGCAGAAAGCCATAATTCAAGCACTTCACATCACCACAAAAGATAAAAAAATATCCAAAGTATAATATAAATGATCAATGATCTGGGACCAGTAAGCTATTTCAGTGGATGAGTTAGGATGCTCTTTACACACCACTTGTATAGCTTAAAGCACTCCAGGGGACGTAGCTACATTTTGGCTGCATATTCTTCTAAATTATATTCTTTTTTAGCTTTTAGTTACATTGTGTACTTACTTAGGCACTTTAGATATGATTTTTTGAAAACTGAGATGATTCTTGAATTAAAACCACTGAGATAAACACTGGCTCTTAACTTCAGGGTGATACACAGTTCAGAAATTCTGAGAGTCATCTCCTAATAAAAACTTCCCCAAACACCAAAGGCAGTTTGAAGTATGCTTCTCAGGGAAAATATATACCTACCTAAATCTTAGTCTAGAGTCAGAAGTTTGATCCATGTCCCTCAATAAACATAGTATTCTAAGTCACAGTAAAAATTAGATTGCTGTGAAATGGGATAATTTTTAGTGTTTTCAGTCTTCTTTCAGATGTGTGTATATGAACCCTCTTTGATAGCATGTGAGTGCTAGCAGCCTGTATGGTGCAACAGAGACCAGGGCCGGGAAAATGTGGTTTGGTTGATATGTGTGTTCTACCATAGTATCGTTATTAAATAAGGCTTGACTGTCACAGGTACCAGCCTCATTTATTAAGGGAAGCCAATTTACCTGAACAAGCCCATGAAGTATGACAGTATAGTTGCTGCCTCATTTGCAGTTGCAATGTCCCAGATGAGACGTGTAAAAGTGGAGAGAAGGGTGGGATGAATAACTAGGATTAAGAGTCACTAGAGTCATCCCAGGGGAAGAAGCTGTCACTCTGGAACAGAACCCTTGGCTTGTTTGAAGCATATATATATATATATATATATATATAACATTTATTTTAGGCTGCTGTGGTGATTTATCTTAGCTACAATTTTGAGACTAAAGGTAATAAGTAAGGCAGGCAATTTCCATGTACAGCCAATGACAAGAAGTAGGATCCTCCAGGGGGCAATTCAGACCATGCAAGTTAGATGCTAAAGTAGCTGAAAATGGATGATGTGGTTACCTCTTTCTCAACCTCATTTTCTTCATCCATTAAGGGGGGAAAATAGTATTTCTTTTTCTCCTCTCCCCCCACTATTTCATTACAAATTAATTGTTATTCAGTACAACTCCTCCAGCAGCACAAAGGCAACTTAAAATCCTGCATTTCCCATACATACTTTGTGTTCTAGGAGCGAACATATCCTGTGACCAATGAATGCTGGGAAGGAATACTGCTCCAGTATGAATGTCTTTGGCTATCTTGGTATTGCTAATGGGGAATAGAAAATAGTTTTCTAGAGCCTATTGTATTGATACACTAGCTATCTTGTTTGACCTTTGATGGTTGAACTGAATTGAATTGATCTCACTTGAGGAAGAGTTAATTTCTGAGATTTGTGGACCAGGCATAGAAGCCATAAAGACTTGAAAGAAGACTTTGTGGTTCAAATCCAGTCCATAAAGGCCATATTGTTGGGCTCAGCATACAGGTGAAGGAACCCGTTCTTAACCAACATAACCAGCACATCCAGGCTCAGAGTTGGGATGCTAGGTACTCTGGCAACAATACAGTAAACATGGAGAATCAGCTGTTGTCTATCCTGTCAACTGGTTGAATAAAAGACAATAATCACTAAGTGTCTGTGCCTTCAGCAGATGCTCAAGGGCTCATTAACCTCAGCAGAACAGCAGACTCATTAGCAGGTTTGTCTATGGATTAACCATTCAAGACTGACAGAGATTGCATTTGGCCAGGGTAGGTTAAATTAACTCCATAAATTCATATTATTTTTATATTTTATAGAAGCTCGAGGATCTTTAGAAATAAAGTTCTGTAATTTTCTTCTATCACAGCCCAGCCAGGTTTTAGAAGGCCAGGCAGGGGTTTACTGTGGCTTAATTAGTGTGTCAAAACTGTCATCAAACTGGATTTGTCTCTAAAAAAAAATCAGGAATGCAAGTTATGGCTTGGT